TTATTTAATTTATAAATTTATCGTAATTATATTCCAAATGAATTTGATATATATATATATATATATATATATATATATATATAAAATACACACATGTACATTTTTTATTATGCGTTTTAACTTTGCATTACAATTAGTTGAAAATACAAATCGTCTTTAAGAACACTATTGTGTAATATTTAATTGTTATTTCGCATCTTGTCGGAATACTAGATAGATTAGGTGTACGTCAACCAAGCAGTTCAAAGTCTTCATCAGATGTGTCGTATTGACGTTCAATGTGTTCAAAGTCCACAACTGCACAAAGAATTATATTTATATAATAATTGTTTATAAATAAATTGCACTTTTTATTTACAAATCAATTATTAATGATCTTAAAACTATTTGAAACCGACAAATATAAAGATATATGCATAAAGTTTCTTATTTTGATATGGCAAAATCAAATAATTTTTACATTATTCATTACATTAATTCACAAAAATAATGTATATAATAACAAATAGAAATATACCACGTTTATTTTCCTATTCCAGTAAAATTTCTATTTGTTTTCCTTTTTTAATCAATTCTATTTTATGCCAAAATATGTTAGAATAAAATATGAAATGTCTCATAAACTGAAATGTCTCTTATTAACTTTTTATTTTACTTAACATTTTGTATTATATAAAAAAATCATAGTTATATGTTTCAAATATCGCATTTATTATATTCATGTTTAAAATATTCAATAACCTTTAGAATATTTAATCTTTTAAAATATTATACTTTTATTTAAAACATTTTTATTGAAAAACAATTAGAATGTATTATTTTTGGATAATACTTAAAAATGCTCTATTCTACATATTTGTACAAAAATATTTCATATGTCACTCTTTCTGAGACTATAAGCTGTTTATAACTACAATTATGGCTGTATTCCATTATTCACTGTACCGAAAATTTATAGTTCACGTTACGTAGACTACAGATTTTCAGTATGCAATAAATAACACAACCTAGATATGTACTTACAACTGGAAGCTGCTACTGCTTCAGAAATAGCATCCTCTGCTGATGACCAGTGTGCCAAACGTTCTGTACACAGCTCGAACAATGGCTGTTTTTCGGGCAAAATTAATTCCTCTTGCATTGATTTACATAGAGACTTAAATTCCTTTTCTGTAGCACAGAAGAAGCACTGAAATTTAATAAATCCATTTTTTATGTGTTAATAAAATATAATCATCACAGTATATCACATACAATTTATATATGCATATGTGTATTTATAAAATGTAACAAAAAATGATAATAATCCAATATATTTCAAATATTCAATATGTTATTATACTTTTAAGATATAATTCTATTTCATATATAATATGTTAAAAATGTTATATTGTACCAATATTCTCTCCCTATCACCTCCCCTCTTTCTCTTTCTGTCTCATAGAGCAACTCTTAAATTTTTATCTCTTGTTGACTTTTATAATAAAAGTCAAATCATATACTAACAAGTGCCACAGAAGGATCCATGCTCGTAATAGGAATACGACTAGCTGATTTGCAGTGATATGAAATATCCATCTCAATTTCTTCTTCGCTTATCTTGTCTTCAATACTACCTGATTTCTGAGTGGTATGAGGATCTAGATAGATCACTTCATCTCCTAAAATGAACCATTTTTTTTATGCATTCATTTTATATCTTTTTCTTTTCGTGAAACGTAAAAATTCATAAAAATTACAAACCCACACAGCCTATAAAATACAGAGCAAGATTTGGTTTCCCTCCAATTACTCCAAGAGATTGTGAGATCTTGAATGATGTCTGA